AAAATGAAACCGAGTAACTTAACGGTTAATGAGACAGATGATTTTATAATATTTTGCGACTACGAAGCGAATCCGGCTTCATTGGTAAGAGTAACATGGTGAGTGACATCATTTTTTCTTTCTCTGTAAAAACGCGCTAACATTTTATCAAATCGATGATTTAACAATATTAATTATTTTTCGAATTATTTGTCTTAACGCGAATTAAATCCTTGATTTTCAACAAGATAAATTAACAAGAAAACTAACAGTTTTTTGTTTCCTGTTACGCGTACGTGTGCGTCTCTTGAAAAATAAATGTTGTCCTTTCTCTTCCCGTTGCTTTATTTCTCTCAATCGGCTGATGTAGGTTACGAGACGAGGAGGAATTATTAGTGTTACAAGACGAGCATTACGATGGCGGAATCACAGAGCACACAGCACTCACGGTGAAAAACGCGACTCCCAACGACATGGGTTCTTACAAATGCATCCTGGAAAACGGCGCCGGCTCATCCGTTTCCGAGGATGCCGTAGAAGTTTCGGTCTTTTGTACGTATTGCAGTTTTCTCTCAACAACAGCAATCATTTTGTCAAATATATCTACACATCGAAGAGCGTTTCGGAGCGATCAATAAAAATTTCATTTTTAAATGCTCTATTGTATATGTTTTTTGTTTTATAAACAAACCACCACAATTATCAAATTATAACATTTATTGAAGAAATAATCACACGTTTTTATGTTTAAGAACACACCTAATTGATAAGATACGTTAATTAAAAAAAACTTGAGAAATCTTACTCCGAGGTTTGAGTACAAAGTTTAAAAATGGATTCCCCGAGAGTGAACTCTCGGTAGTGTTTAAGAGTTAAAAACTGCCGCAACATAAAGCGCCAAATATAACAACAAAATCTGAAATCCGGAAGTTTACATCTCTTCGAGAAAACTATCTATCTTCTTGTTTCTCCCGGCGTAGCTTTTAGCAAGGCAGTTTATTTTTTCGGTAAAAAAAAAAAAAAAACAAAAAAAAAACAAAAAACGACAATTTTATTGAAAAGCAATACAAGCGAATTTTATTTTACCGTGAATAAGATCGAAAAGAGAGAGAGAAAATTTTTCTCGCGTGTCTGTCTTTCTCTTCCACGTGAGATTTATATTTCAGCGTAGGACGTATATATTCTCTCGTTTTTATCCACGTAGACAAACCAGTGGTGGAGGTGATAATGGATCCAGAGACACCTGTGAACGAGGCGGATCGTGTAAACGTCTCGTTAACGTGCGAGGTCGAAGCCGGCAATCCGGCCGTGCTGTCAGCCGTCCGTTGGTATTTGGACGGTGATCTATTGAAAGAACTTCCGGATTGCCCGAGAAACAGCACCGCCATGACAACGCCGACCGAGGAATCGTTGACGTTCTGCGACATTGATCCCAGCAAACTGCTGCTGGAATCTGTCGGTCGTTCCTTCCACGGCAACTACTCGTGCGAGGGGAGAAACGACGCCGGCTGGGGACCAGTCTCTCCAAGCACGCCTGTCATAGTTTATTGTAAGTCCTCTCTCTGTCACACGTCACTCACGCGTCCCGTTACACGATGACACGGAGAGAAGTTTTTCGCGCGGCGCGCACGAAATAAACTTTTTCCCTCCCTTCTCTCTCTCCCCCCCGTCCTCCTACATTTTATTTTTCAACCACATAACTCGTTACGCTCGTTTATATTTGCGCGTTTCGAGTTTCATATAGTTTTCCGAAATACACACAGTATATATATAAATTATATAAGTTAGTTAAATTGTAACAGTATTCTCAAAATGTTTATTTAATATTAATTGTCAATAGACACACGTTTTTGGGAAACGTGTAGCGTATTGTTTGACATACGGTACGCGCATTAATTATGAATTTGTGTATAATATTTTGCAATATCAAATCAACACGTATTTGCAAAAGTGTGTGTGTGTTTATTCGATATTAATTGCAGAAGAACATCGCGTAAATTAATGATTTGTGACAACTTCCGTAGCGCGCGGCCGTACGCAATCNATATTATTTAGCGTGTCTCTTGTCGGTGACGTAAAGTCNAATTGTTATTAATTTTTCGGGCGCGTGAGCAGCGCCGNGATTTTTCTCACGTAAACCATTTCGACAGACAAACCCGGACCGGCATCNATATTCTACGANCCGCCNNAAGTAATGAAGNAGCATTCATTATCNATCACTTGTCTGGTTACGGATCCCGGTCGGCCGAAGGTGTCAGGCTTCAAATGGCTGCGCGGCTGGCACCGACTTCCAGATGAGAACGACGCCACTCTCGTCATCGAGTCGGTTAATTTGGAAACCGAAGCAAATTTCACATGCCTGGCTTATAACGAGGCCGGCGACGGCGACCCGGCCACAACGTTTATCGACGTATCTGGTGAGCGACACATGTCAATGCACACCC